GTATCAAAAAGGAACAAATTGAAAGTATAGGTTTTCTAGAAAACGTGAAGAGCCTCTGAAATATGGCTAAGGCTGAGGTTAGAGGAAAACTCAAAGATTAAAGACTAATAGCAATTTTTTTTAAATATTGAAAACAAAAGCATTAAATACCCTTAAATGCTTTTATAGATTTATAGATAAATCAAATAAAACAGAAGGAAGGAGTTAGTGAAACTAAAAGCAGAAATTAAGAGTTAATGCTAAACTAAATGGTGGGTACTTGGATGCTCATTATATTATTCTAAACCCCTCTTTGTAAATATGAGATAACTTGCAATAAGTTTTAGGCTTGTTAAATGAGCTATTATCTATCCACGTAATGGATAAGAGTGAAATAGAAGCCAGGCACCAGTGACTCATGCCTATAATCCTAGCTACTCAGGAGGCAGAGGTCAGGAGGATCATGGTTCAAAGACAGCCCTAGGCAAATAGTTCTTGAGACCTTAAAAAAAAGCCCATCACAAGAAAGGGCTGGTGAGTACTCAAGTGGTAAGAGTGTCTGCCTAATGATCAAACCAATGTACAATGTAACCTTATTTGGAATTGTCACTATGAATCCTCCCTGTACAATGACTATATCCTAATTTAAAAAAAAAGAAAAAAAGCGCATCTGCCTAGCAAGCATGAGGCCCTGAATTCAAACCCCCATGCCGGAAAAAAAGAAAATCCAGTAATCTATAAAAAGAACAATACTCCATGGCCAAGTGAGACTTATCGCAGGTATGTGAGGTAGTTCAACATTTGAAAATCAATTAATGTAATTCATCATATCAACAAGCTAGTGAAGGAAATCATATCATCATATCTATCGATGCAGAAAAAGCATGTAATAAAATTCATCACCTGTTTGTGATTTAAAACTCTCATCAAACTAGGAATTGAGGGGAACTTCCTCAACTTGATAATACCTACCAAAAAAAAAAATACAGCAAACATCACACTTAATGGTAAGAGACCAGTTTTCCCACTAAGATCAGAAAGAAGGCAAGGATGTCCCTTCTCACCACTCCTTTCAGTATCCTAGTGGGAGCCCTAGCTAATGAACAGGACAACTAAAGGAAATGGAAGGTATACAGATTGGGAAAATAGGAATAAAACTGTCTCAGTTCACAGATGCAACCTGAGATGATTGTCCATGAACAAAATCTGAGGACTGAGGGTGTATCTCAAGTGGCAGAGCACTTGCCTAGCAAGTACAAGATATGAGTTCAACCCTAGTACCTATCCCTGGATGCTGCTGTGGTCTAGCATCTAGCCAATTTAAGCGAGGAAGGAGGGAGGGAGGAAGGAAAAGGAAGAAATGAAGGAAGAAAGGGAAATAATTGAAAAATCTAGATAATCTTGGGTATGAAGGTAACTTTTTTTTGTCGGCACCGGGGTTTGAACTCAGGGCCTCACACTTGCTAGGCAGGCACTCTTAGCACTTTGAGCCACTCCACTGGTCCTTTTTTACATTGGGTATTTTCGAGATAGTGGCTCAAAAGTTATTTGCCTAGGGGCTGGCTTTGAACCGCTATCATCCTGATCTCTGCCTCCCCAGTAGCTAGGATTACAGATGGCTCACACCAGTGCCCAGCTTGGAGATGACTTTTTAGATAAAAATACCAAAGTCACTGTTCATGAAGGAAATAATTGATAAGCTGGACTTCAGTAAGATCAAAAGTTTCTGCTCTATGAAAGATAATGTCAAGAGAATAAGATGACCAGCCACAGACTGGGAGAAATATCTGCAAGAGATACATCTGATCAAGACTGTTATCCAAAAGATACAAAGAACTCTTAAAACTCAACAGTAAAAAAAACAACCAAAACTGGGTGTTGATAGCCCACAGCAAAGTAGTACACACCTGTAATCCCAGCATTCGGGAGGCTGAGGTAGGAGGATAGTGAGTTTGAGGCCACCTGGGCTATACAGCAAGACCTTGTCTCAAAAAATTAAATAAATAAACAATTAAAAACTAGGCAAAAGATCTGGACAGACACCTTGCCAAAAGAAGATATACAGATGATAAGCATGTAAAAGATGTTCAGCATTGTATATCTTTAGGGAACTACAAATTAAAACAATGGGACAGCTATTAGACTGGCCCACATCCAAAACACTAACAGCATTAAATGCTGGCAAGGATGTAGAGCAACAGGAACTCTCATTCATTAGTGATGGACCCCTTATACAGCTACTTTAGAATTTCTCAGAAAACTAAAATACTCTTACCATAGAACCCAGCAATTGCTGAATCTGGTATCCACCAATTTAACTGAAAACATATTGCCCCATGAAAACCTGGATATGATGTTTTCAGCAACTTTATTTGTAATTGCCCAAACTTGGAAGCAACCAAGATGTCCTTCAATAGGTGAATGAACAAATTAACTGGTTCATCGGTACAATGGGGTATTATTCAGTAATTTTTTGGGGAGGGCATTAATGAGGTTTGAACTCAGGGCCTCATGTTTACTAGGAAGGCACTTTTCCACTTGAGATATTCTGACAGCATTTTTTTGTGGTGGATTTTTTTCAAGATAGGGTCTTGCGTACTATTTGCTAGGGCTGGCTTTGAACCTTGGTCCTCCTGATCTCTGCCTCCTGAGTAGCTAGGATTATAGGCACCTGATTTATCCAGGCATTTTAAAAAATGAACCATCAAATCCTGAAAAGACATGGAAGATACTTAGGTGCATGTTCTTAAGTGAAAAAAAGCCAATGTGAAAAGGCTTTAACTGTATGGCTTCACCTTTATGACATTTGAAAAAGGCAAAACCATGAAGATGGTAAAAAAGATCAGTGGTTGCCAGGAGTCAATGAGGAAGAAGGGATGAGTAAGTGGAGCATAGATTCCTAGGGCAGCAAAAGTACTCTGGATGATGCTGTAATGATGGATACATGTCATTGTACATGTGTCAAAACTCATAGAATGTACACACCAGGAGTGAATCCTAATGTAAGCTAAACTTTGGGTGATAATGCTGTGTCTGATGTGGGCTTGTCATCTGTAACAAATGTACCTGCTCTGGTGTAGGACGTTGATAATGGACAGAGAGCACATGGGAACTCTGTTTCACTGTGAAACAGTGAATGTATAATTGCTCTTAAAAAATAAAGTCTATAAAAAAAGAAAGAAAAGGCTTGGCGCCAGTGTCTCATGCCTATAATCCTAGCTATTTGGGAGGCAGAGATCAGGAGACTCATGATTTGAAGCCAGCCTGGAGAAATAGTTCTTAAGACCACATCTCAAAAAAAAAACCTTCACCAAAAAGGGCTGGTGGAGTGGCTTAAGGTGTAGGCTCTGAGTTCAAACCCCAGTACTGCAAAAAAAGAAAAGAAAAAAATCAAGGCCACTTTACTGCATAAACATGTTTTTTTTTTTTTTTTCAGTATTCAGTACTGGGATTTGAACTCTGGGCCCTGTGCTTGCTAGACAGGTGTTCTACTACTTGAGCCACACACACCCAGTCCTACATAAACATACAGAGCTTTGACTAAGGGTTCACTGAGTGTTAGCATGCAAAACATAGGACTTGTTCATTGTGTTTATAGTAAAATATATAATTATTGCCCAAGGAGACCACTGAGGCCTGGGGGATACACTGTTTGGGTCATTTCTCCCTCCTGCACCCCGCCCTCACCCAATTTCCCCCCTCCTTGCTTCCAGGCAGAACCTGTTCTGCCCTTATCTCTATGCTTTAATTCTTTAAAGTTTAGAGAACAAGAGCCCACAGTATCCGAGAACCTCGAACCCATACATTACTCCTAAGAGGGCTGGAGGTGTAGTTCAAGTGTACAAGTGTAGAGTACTGCGTAGCAAGCTGATGCCCTGAGTTCAATCTCCAGTACAAAGGAGGGGTATGGGAGGAATCACAAATAAAAAAAACCTTCTAACAATTGGTATTTGGTGCCCTATCCATACATGATCTGGCCTCAGTATGGTGCAAGCAGCTCAGCTCTACTACCTGAGGGCCTATTCTAGGGCCAAAAGGAGCCAGAATTTATGTACCCTGGGAAGGCAACCACAGCCTGAAGGGAGTGGGCAAACACCCACAGCCCCTGACACCGCAGGTGAGATAATTCAGAGGTGACTTGTGCTGGTCCCAACTAGCACTATACACCCCAGTCGTAATGGGCACTACCACACACCTGGACGGGCTGTGCCACATCCTGCTTCCTGAGATCACCTCTCACATCAGCCACTGGCATGTAACCCTTGTCTCAGGCTCTGCTTCTCAGGGATCCACACTAACCTGCTGTTACTGGAACAAGAGATGCTCTAGGGAGGTCATCTCCAAAAGTCGGCCTGGTCCTTGGGTTCGTGACAGTGTCACAAAAAAGAATTTTAGGACACACTGAAGCAGAAACCAAGAAAGTTTATCAGTAAAGCAAAGACAGAAACACAGTACACAACCCAGACATGGGTCCAGTACATGTGATAACAGGTGCAATGAGTGCCCTAACATCAAGGGTGTTTATGGTGAAAAATATGTTGGGGTTTGGTTTGAATTCTCCTTAGGACAAGTGGTCCTCTTTGTTCTGATACCTGGTATATTTAATCATTCTTGCTGTCACACTACTTTATCAACTGTGCTCAAAGATTTCAAAGTTGGCCTGCTTATTATATTGGAGTAAATAGTGACATAAACCCCTTCATACAAATGGACAGATGTCCATCTATTAAATACATATTTTCCTTTGTAAACACTTCGTTTTTTCCCAGGTGGTTTTTCCCAAAATGTCTTTTTTAAAGAAATCCTTGCTCAGTTTCCAGAGCATATAAGTATTTGGATAAGAGGGCAAGGTCAGAGGGAGAGAACTGCTTTTTCCCATTCCTTTTTCCTTTTACTAAATATTGCAGCTCACAGAAGGGGTGTAAGGTTTCAAGCAAAGAAAATAGTCCCTGTGTGCTTTTAATCAAGTCATTCATTAATACATAATTTATCTCTGAATTCCTGAGAATTCCCATGTCCTGTTTTCCCTGATTTGTCCTGCCTCACTGCCACTTGTGACATATATTTTGGTGGCGGAAGCAAGTGCTGCCATCCAAAAGAGGCACACAAGGAAACATAAGTGAGGTGGCAGAGGAGAGACGAAGGCCTCCCAAAAAGCCTCTTGGGGGATCCTTGAACACAAAGTGCAGATGCCACGCTGGGGAGGCGCTTACTCACAGGAGCAGACTGTCCATCAAACTCACAGAAAGAGAGGGTAAAATCATACAGCCAGTGTTTTTAATTCAAAACAAGAAAACAGACCAGACCTCTGAGTTCAAATGCCAGCAGATGAGGGAAGCCCATGATTATTTTATCTGGGGCCTGCCTAGTGGGTATGGACTTGGCACACAGGAGCTCAATGCCCCCTGCTGGGTGGTATTTCAGAACTGTGGTGGGGTTGGGTGCCAAGCAAGCTCTCACCAACAGAATCCTTGATGATGCTTGGCTATGTGAGGCCAGCGTCTGCCAGGGTGTGAAGCCAGCTTCTCCACCGTAAGGGGAGTCTCAGACACCCCTTTTGTGCTGTGATGACTGGGCTTTGGAAGGAGAAGATGGACTAAGTTCCAGGCAGCCTCTCCTCACTGTTACAGCACTGGTGGCTGGCTGGTGGGACTGGAGGAAGATGAAGTCAAGGTCAAGGACACAGACTGATCAGTCACACGGCACCTCTAGACTCAGAATGCTCACCAAGTCCACTGACCTACAAACAGGTACAGCCTCATCCACCCCCTGCCCAGCCTCCTTTTTGCCAGTTTGTCCCAACTGTTTATCCTGGGGGTGGCAGCACTTCAGAGTGGGGATCAGGCCAGGCAGGAGGCATCTGCTGTATGAACAGTCTCTACCCTCCACCCCTTATCCTCTTGGAAACCCCATCCCAGCAAGAGGTCAGCGTGGCCAGGCAGCACTAAACTCCTTCTCCAGACTCTGGACGAACTGGTCATTGAGGAAGAGCAGCTGGCCATGGGGCAGGAAGCGAGTGATGATGCCCTCAATGCGGTCAGCCCGCATCAGGAGGCTGGTACCAGGCACCAGCAGGCGGAGGGGTCAATGAGGAGGCGGGCCAGCAGCTGGAGTGTGCTCTCGGCCAGCAGTAGGTTCTCGTTGGCATCCAGCACCAGGGCGAAGCCTAATGAGAGCACGCCCAGCCACACCACTGTCCGTGGCTCCCGGAACGGGTTCCCTGCAGCCAGCCGGAAGGCCCCATGTGGAGCCTCATGCAAGGACACAGGCTCATCCAAGGACTGTGGCTGCAGATCTGTGGGGAGCCGGCCAGACGCCTGCTGCTGCAGCTGGCATATTGACTCCACCTGCCTGGGAGAAGGGGCAAGACTGGTGGGTGACAGGCCTGGCAAAGCCACTGACACAGCCCACACACAAACTTCTGACATCCCCACGACCATTCCTAGAGCTGGTAGCTCCCATTATCCACATGTCTCAGTTGGGGAAACTGAGGCTCAGAGAGACTAAATGACCTCTCCAGGGTCACAAAGCCAGGGAATGTGACTCCATTCAGAAACCTGGGCTCCAGCTTGTGGTCCCATGTGGCCAACAGAAGGCAGGTTCTAAACACAGCTCCTTGGGCTGGAAAAGTACACCAGGGAAGAAGAGTCTGCCCCACCTTTTTCACAAAGGCCACCACAGCAGAAAGGAAGGTAAATAGGAATAAACCCAGTGGCCTGGCCTTTCCACTCCCATTTGGTTGTCAAGGCTTTTGAAAGCCCCCTCTGATCCTTCCTGAAATGCCTTCTAGTTTGGGCCATGAACAAGCCTGTTTTAAAGGTGTTTATTTGGTTTTCTGTGCTACAGGGATGGGAAAGAGGTAAAAAAAAAAAAAAAAAAACAGGGGATGTCAAGAGCAGGCAAAGGGTAGTCTCAGAGTAGTAATGCCCCTGCCCAGTGATGAGGGGGTCAGGAGACTCTGGCACCTCTCACTATGTCTGATCTGGGATGGGAAGGTCCAAGGCTACTCAACTTAGTTTCGAACAGTGTTTTTCACTGTGCTCTGGGTCCCCGGCATTCAGATAGCCCTGAATATATAGCCTCCTGAATATACACCGCATTCTCTCTATTCCTTAGAGATGCATAATTCTATAGGAATACTAAAGGCCCTGAGAAGTCCTGCATTGCAAATCATGTTCAATCTGTACTGGGGTCTGCCTGCCTACACTAAACTCTCAGTTACTCTACTCTCTAGCTTCATAACAGTGGACAGGTTTAGTTCCCTAACACTCTGTACCTCAGTTTACTCATCTGTAAGGTGGGGATAACAACTATAGCTACCTCAAAAGACTACTGTGAGGATTAAATAAGTTAATATATAAGAAACGCCCAGAACATACTTACACATATTTATATGCCCAATAAATAGTAACTATAATAATAACATAATGGCATTATTATTTCTTGAACCCTTTCTCACAGTAACACTTATAGACAACTGTGGAAGACTGGAATATACCAGTCTCTCTGCTTATCAGTCTCCTGTTTCTCTGTGTGCCCCAGAACACCTATTGGAATCAGCTATATGCTCAATATGGGCTGGGTGTGTGGTTACCTGGCCACAGCCAAAATCTGTTCCTTGCGGAGAAGCCTGTCCCTCTCCGCACCATGTGGCCGTGGATCATCTGGTGACTTCTCAGCACCAAAGACGCAGGAGTAGAGCACTCGGCAAAGGCCTGGATCCTCTGCATTTGGGGACCTCAGGGTGTGGATGAGGAAGGCATGGACCATGGCTCCAGACTGGTGCTAAAGGGAGGCAGAGATTGGGGTGAGAGCAGAGAGGGTGTGACCTAGCAGGACTCCGGAGGGCATCCAGAGATACTGATAACCCCTCAACCATCAAAACACACCCCAGCCTCTGGATAATACAGTGCCTGGTCAGCCCCACAGAACAGGGTCCAGGGCAGAAGAAATCTCAAACAACCCTAAATCTAGGTCTACAAAAAGCTGGCCAAGAATCTCCAAAAACTTCAGGGTCATGAGAGTCTGGGAAACCTGAGTAGCCACTCCAGACTGCAGAAAACTAAAGAGAATCCACAGCTGAAAGCATTGTGGACTCCTGGAACAGATCCTGGACCAAGAAAAAGAGCTTCCATACAGAGCGGTACTAGGATAACTGGAAACACTTAAATATGGACTGGGTCAGAAAATAATCTTGACCAATGTTACCTAATTTTGAATGTAGGCACGTGTCCTTGTTTTTAGAAAATACACAAGGATGTACCTCTAAGTACAGGGGCAGAGGGGTACAAATAACTCAAATAGTCCAGGGGGAAAACGTGCAGACAGAGAGAAAATTACAAAGCAAATGGACAAAAGATGTTAATTGATGATGAATGTCACAGGAAGGAATATGGCAAATTATTTCAAAATCAAGACTAAGTAATAATGGTATCTGGGGTTGAAAGGCAGCAGGTACACAGTTAGCAGGTAGCCATAGCTAAGGATAAACAGACAATCAGTATCAGGAAGGTTAAACGAAGGTGTTTTGAGTATCGAACACTGGTTCCCAGGCGCTGACCTCCGGTGACCTGCGAGCGCGTCATCAGCCCTCTCCGCTCCCAACCCCCACCAGAGAAATGATAGGGGCCAACACCCCTTACGTCACTGCCTTCCCAGCCCTGCGGCGCAATGCATTTTGGGGGTTGTAGTCCTTACTCCAGTCGACCAAGCGTAAGTTGGTATCCCGCCCAGGGAGCTGCCCTGCAGCACCAGGCTGCTGTTGTCGAAGGGTCTCACTCAGCCTTTCCTCCGGGCCTGCAGACTTCTAACCGGCCGACCAACTCCGCGGCAGGAGAGCAATGGCGGCCCGCGGACGTCTGCACACGTCGGTAGCAGACGCACTCAAGAGCGCCGCGGGACGGAGTGGGCGGGGCCTCACGTCCCGTGGAGTGGTCTGAGATCTTGGCGCGGACCGTACCTTCCTACGATGGGACTCAGCGCTCAGAGCTCCAGGCTGGGGCCGCGTGGGTCACGCCCGGTGTCTGCTGGAAGCCCTGGACCTGTCTCCCCTCTGGCCGCCAACCCCTAGCTGCCGCCAGGGGGCGCAGCGGCCCGGCGGCCGGTGCGCAGACTTTCCAGAAGAGACCGGAGGCCTGGCGTCACTAGAGGGCGGGGTTTAGGCCCTTGCGTCGCCTGCCAATCTCATCTAGTGAGGCTCTTGGACTCTGGCGGGGGGGGAGGGGCATCAGCGACCGTGGGGCCTGACAGTGGGGGTCTGAGTTCGTAGACTGACGCTGTGCCATAGGAGCACTGATGCCTGTTAAAGTGCAGATTGCTGGGCCTTGTCCCTGGAAAATTATGACTTTGGCATATGTAGACTGTTTTGCGCAGATTCTGGGTTCTGGTTTCCTTCCATGGGTCTGGAGCTGGGTTTTTGAAGTAGGATTTGAACTCTGGTCCCAACCTTACAGTTGCGTGTCCCTGGGAGGCCAGTCAACTTCGTTGGGTCTCACTGAAACCGCATAGTTACTGACACCTAGGGCAAGCGCTTAGTTTTTTCCTTCCACGTCCCATCTATGACACAGTCCCTGTTCACACTCCTTGCTGGGAGGCCATCTGAGGCATCGGGAAGAGATTTTTATCTTAAACTTGAAACACTCACTGCCTTGCCGTAGGATAAAGACCTGAACCTGGAGGCGTGGACCAAAAGCATTGGAGTACCCCAAGGCCAATAATACCTCACTGCTTGCCCTGGATGTTCCCCTGGACATCTTGGCACGTGAACTGCTTGAGTCACCCCAGGGATGTCCCAGTGTCCTATGTCTCAGCCCTCCCCAACCCCACTGGCTGTTCCCTCAGCTTGGAATCCCCTTCCTCTTCTTTTGCTCTTCCACATGTTCTCAGACCAAAACTTTGGGGGAAACCCTGCTAGCTTGACTCTTGGTATTCAACTGCAGTGATGGTGTCTCCATGGGAACACTTGGGCTGTGGCTCCCATTGTCACTTCCAGAGCCAAGTGCAAGGCAGGACTGAAGCAAGCTGAATACATGACAAGAAATGCAGGATAGGGCAGGGTGACGCAGGGATAGGATAGGGAGTGCATTCTGGACCTCTTTGGCCATAGGACCAGGAGGAGTGAGGCTGGCCAAGGCAGCATTTTAACCTCAGGTTCAACACATAAGTATATTTGTAGTTGCAGGAATGGGCCCAGAGACTGTGGGGCCTCAACCACAAGGCTAGGGAATGATGTTGGCTCAGTTGCTGGGAACAGGTCCTGGTCCCAGATCCTATCACTTTAGCCAGGCCTTGTGTCTGTTAGCTGAATATAGCAGACAGCAGGCAGAGCTCTGGTTGCTAGGGCCACCTGGAATCTAGAACACAGTATCCCCAGCCTCTGTCCACTTCTCAATGAGTCCACATCAAGTTCTAGACTGCTGGAGAGCTGACCTTATGTGAGGGGTGTGGAGGAGACAACGGTGGAAGGCTGGCCTGACCCCTCTATCCTAGAAGACCATGGAGGACCCAGGTAGACCATGGAAGACCACAGAGGTCTTCCTCAGCCTGGTAGGAAGCCAGGGCTGGGGGCAGGCAGCAGAGTGGAGGTCTCTCTGATGGTTTTACTGAGGGCATGCCCTGGGAGATCCCTTCTCAGTGGCCACCAGCCTCTTCTGGTTCCACACCATACTTCATGTTGGGCACCATGGTTACATCCACCAAGGCTAGCCCAGCAGTACCTACTCGTGCTAACCACACTGCTTTGTACCCCTGAGTGAAATGAAAGCTGATGATGTCACATATAGGATATTCAGAGTAGATTTGTTCTTAATTTTTCCAAACTGGAAGTTACCCAAATACACATCAGCTATGGAATGGATATTGTATTGTGTGTACTCATACAGTGGAATGCTATATGGCAGAAAAAAAGAATAGCTACTATGCACACATGGCTGAATCTCACAAACATAATATTGAATGAAAGAAATCTGTGACAAAAATGTATGCTATCATATGATAGCAGAATGCACAAATCTAGGCAAGCCATTCCACATGGTTATAGACAGAATGGTAGTTCTTCTTGTGGGGTAATGACTGCAGAGGCCAGAGGGAGCACTGGGGCCAGTCACATTCTGGGCTTTGACTACATGAGCATATTCACTTTGCAAATACTCACCAAGCTGGACACTTGGAATATGCACATGTTTCTGTGTATTTAATTCAACAAAACATTTAAAAACATGAAGACCCCAGCCATTTGGGGGCGGGGCAAGTCTACTTCCCTCTCATACAGCCCTCATTTTCATATGAGTCATGACCATCCATGGTCTGTGACAATTTCACTAAAACTATTATTTACTTTGAAGTCTAGTTTTAAGCTGAACTAAGAATGTGACAGGATCGCTCTCCTACACTGGAAGGATGGCAAGGTTTGAAGAGGCAAGTGTCGCTAGAGGGCGGGGTTCAAACCCCTCCAATTGCCTGCCAACCTCATGAGGCCTTTAGACTCAGGCCCCGCCCAAGCAGCTGGGATTTATAACTTTGAAGCACAGCCTCTTGTTTGGCAGATAAGGGCCTAGAGATGCTCCCTGAGGTGGCTAATGTCACACAGCAAAGTGCCAAGTGCAAGACCAGATAGGGGCATGAGCTCTACTTTCTGCAGCAGCTGGTGGGGAGGCAAGAGGAAGGGGAAAGGGGAGAACCTGAACAAGACTGCAGAGGATGGACATGGCCTGAAAGAAAGATAAAACAAGCCAGGTGGTGGTGATGTAGGTCTGTAATCCCAGCACTTGGAAAGCTGTGGCAGGAGGATCTCAAGTTTGAGGCCAGCCTGGGCTGCACAGTGACCATAGACACCTTGTTGAAGATAAAGGAAAAAAAAAAAAAAAAAAAAGCCAGGTGCCAGTGGCTCACACCCGTAAACCTAGCTACTTGGGAGACTGAGATCGGGAGGATCAAGGTTTGAGGCCAGCCTGAGCAAATAATTTGCAAGACCCCATCTCCAAAATAACCAGGGCAAAATGGTCTAGAGGTGTGGCTCAAGTGGTAGAACACCTGCCTGGCACGTGTGAAGCCCTGAGTTCAAACTCCAATCCCACAAAAAAAAAAAGGGGGGGTAGTGTGTGGCCATTCACTCAGTCATCTTGTGGCTCCCAAGTGGCTAAATACAGAGAGGTAGGAGTGGACCTGGGCCCTGGAGGTGCTGCAGGGTCTTCTTGCCAAGTTCACTGTGTGGGGTTTCTGTTACATGCAGCGGAGTGCATTCCTAGGTGGCAGTTCAGAGGCTGGAGGTGGGTAGGGTGGGACAAGCTGGCCTTGGTTACAAGACCTGCCCTGAAGACAAAACAGAGGCAGTTGAGTGTGTTGGGTAGTGTGCTGTGTGTTCATTGTGCAAGGCTTTTTGTGTGTGTGGCACTGGGGTTTGAACTCAGGGCCTAGGCAGATGTTCTATCAGTTGAGACACTCCCCCGCCTGCAAGGTTTTTATATTAGTCCAGTGCTTGAGGCAGGACTGAGTACACAGTAGTGCAGTTGTGGGGTTTGGTGTAGTGTGACAGAGAAGACGAGAAGGAACAAAAGTAAAACTTAATAAAGCACTACCAGGAAACTACAGGAGCTTGATTTGCGACCCAGCGCATCTGCCCAGATGGGGCCATGCACCACACACCTCACCTTTTCCCTTCCCTCTTTCAACTTGAGCAGAAGACTCCATCACTCTGCATTCCCTCTTGCTTTTTCAGTGGTCCTCCAAGTTGAGAGTTTGCCTGCAGACTTTCCTCATCCACCCACACTGGCCCCTTCCTCACCTCCACCTTCCTCTGCTCAGTAGCAATAGCAGGCAGCCTAGGATTATCTGTATGGACTCCCCTTGGTGTGCAGAATCGGATACCTGCAAAATGGTTGATCTGGAGATGACTGAGTCTTCTTCCAGACTCAATACCAATCCCCACAATTCACACATGTCTGGTAGCTCCTGCTACCAGATAGTCCTATTAGTTTTTGACAGCTGGAAACCCTAATTTATGATCTTTACTGAACCTGAGACTTGGGACCAGTTTGGTGGAGCCTCCCTGCACCTGGATGTGGGCAGGGCAATTTGTTAGAATCTGCTAACTGCAGGCAGTGAGTTTAACTGACTCCCTGATAAGGGTGGCTGGCCATTCCTCAAAGAGCAGAGCAGAAACTCAGCAGCAGAGGGGACTCTTGCTTTTTTTTTTTTTTAGAATCAGAGTGGGCTGAAATTGGGTGGATTGCCTGCCCTAAATAAAGGCAACAAAGGTCAGGCAACCCCTTGTCCCTCCCTCCACTTCACCTCCGTGTGGCATCTCACAGACAGCTTTCTTCTGTGCTGGGAGCCTTCTTTGGGCCATTTGGACCACAATCCCACCCTCTGTCTCCCCAAAACCTCCATCCACAGCCAGGTGCCAGTGGCTCACCCCTGTAATCCAAGCTACTCAGGAGGCAGAGACCAGGAGGATCACAGTTCCAAGCTATCCCAGGCAAATAATTCAAGAGACCCTATCTCCCATCTTGAAAAAACTCATCACAAAAAAGGGTTGGTGGAGTGGCTCAAGGTGTAGGCCCTGCATTCAAGCCCCAGTACTGAAAAAAAAAAAAAACCCTCCAACCATGAAACCCCAGCCCCAGTCTGGTCCCTTGAACTAAATATTTTTAGGCCCATCCTTTTTACTTCCTTGATGTCTGTTTAGTCCTGACACTGGCCCTAAGCAGCCACAGCAGCCCTCACTGTAGGCAGGCCCTGTTCTGAGTGCTTTTCATCCACCAACTCATTTGATTCAATCCACAACTGTTCCAAGTAGGGGCTTTAGGACTTGCAGAGTGGCTCGAGTGGTAGAGCACCTGCCTAGCAAGCATAAGGCCCTGAGCTCAAACCTCAGTACTGAAGGAAAAAAAAAAAAAAAAGCACACCAAACAGGGGTTTTAATGTCTCCATTTCACAGATGAGAGATAGAGGCCCAGTAGATGAAGTCCCTGGTCATGTGCATGCTGATAGATTACAGCCTGACCTTTCCACTTCCCTTGTGTTCCTCCTGCCCATTCCCTTGTGGTCACTCCACAAGCTTGCCCAGCCGCCCTTCCCCCAGATCTCTGGAATATAATTAGCCTTTCTCTCAACCACACCCCTGCTTTACCCTCCACAACCCACTCTGGTAGCTGCCTTTCCACCCCAGGATTGATGTCCTCCTTACTTGGTACTCCCTGGCCCACTCTAGGAGCCCCCTCGGCCCCTGCAGCCCTACCTTCAGGGAAGTGGTCTTGGCTAGCTCCCAGGAGAATAAGGCCATGTGTGATTCGTCCTTTCAAACAGTGGTGCTTCCTGTAGGGCTGAGTGCCAGGAGGCTCCCATGAGGCAGGATAGGCCCAGCCACGTGAGGCTCCTTCTCTTCCTGCTGCCCCAGGCCGGCTGACTCAGAGCCTGGCAGCTGTTGTCACCCCCCCCACACCGGGGTGTGCGTGCCAGTGCAGGCTAGGTAGAGCCAAGGCCACCCTCCCTGAGCTCCTTGGTTGCCACACAGACATATCATCTATCTTCTTTGAACAATAGATGGTGAAGAATCTCACCTCTTTGAACATTCTCTTAAGGCATGACTTTCACATCTGCAAAGCAGCAACTTCACCATTACTCAGCCTCCCTCTCCTGATTGTTTCAGCTCCACGTGCCCATAGACCTCTGTTCAAACTTCTTTCTGCCTCACCAACAGTTTTAGTGCCTGTGGAAAGTAGGTGGGCTGTGCATTCAGGTCTTTTAGAAATCCTCAATTTTCTAGATAGCCTTGGGCTGTTGGGACTGATAGCAGAAAGACTCAAGTCAGTGAACACACGGCCAATTAACTTCAAAGACTCACTGATTCCTTAAGAATCTGACTTGAGGGAAAAAAAATACTTAGGCTAATATTGCCTCATGCTGCCAATATAGGAGTCAGAAAATAGGTTGGGTCTGGACGTTTAAACACCTGCCAACACCATAGACAACATGTGGGTTCAGTGCTTGGCAGTTACTAGAGCTCTTTGCTCTACATGGGAATCGCATTTATTGGTTAAGAGAGAGAAATTACAACTTAAGAATTTTGACAAGAATGTTGAACAAAACCCTCAGACTCTGCTGGTGAGAAGATGAGTCCATGCAAGGATCTTAGAGAACTGTGTGGAAATTCTAAAACTGAACACATTGCACGCCTAGGTATGGTCCCAGCACTATTTGCAATCATCTCAGTAATCCACCCAGGGTAGGATGAATGTGTTCCTTATCTCTACTGTGGTGGTGGGTACACAACTGTATGCACTTGTCAAAACTCACAGAACCATATACTCAAAGCGGGGAGTTTTTCCACGTGTAAATTACATTTTAATTTCATTTTTAAAAAAATGCTTGGGGCTGGCTTGGGGCTAGGCTGCACCTAGAAAGTGCAAGGCCCTGAGTTCAAACCCTAGTACTGCCCACCCCTCTAAAATTGTATTTGGGGTAGGGTTGTGGCTCAAATGGTAGAGTGCCTGCCTACCAAGTGCCAAGGCCCTGAGTTGAATATCCCAGTACCATCAAAACCAAATAAGCAAATAGAAATGGTACATTTGGGCTGGGAGTACAGCTCAGTGGTAGAGCACTTGCCTAGCATGCACAAGGCTCTGGGTTCAGTCCCCAACGCTGAAGGGGAAAAGAAACCAAACCCATTCATTTTGGCTCATGGTTCTGGTCCAAGGTCAAGGGCCACATCTGGTGTTGGCAGAGCACTGAGGCTGCGTAGGGTATCACACGGCAAGAGACAGGCAGGAGCTCATGTGTCAAACTTTTTTTTTTTCCTGTGGTGCTGGGAACTAAACCTAGGGTCTTGCCCTACTAGGCAAGTTCTACTACTGACATGAACTCCCAGCTTTTTGTTCCAGATTGGGGTTTGACCCTGTTGCCCAGGATGACCTCAAGCAATCCTCCCGACCTAAGCCTCCTGAGTAGCTGAGACTATAGATGCATACAACCACACCCAGGCATAACTTCATTAAAAAAAAAAAAACGAGGAGGACTGGCGTGGTGGGTCAAGCAGTCGAGTGCCTGCTTCACAAGCGCAAAGCCCTGAGTTCAAACCTCATTCCAAAAAAATCTCTTAAAATTAAAAACAGAAGAGGACTGGGGATAAAGCTCAGTTGTAGCAATCTCTAGCATTGCAAACAAATAAGTAAAGTAAAAAAGAAGAAAAGTAGAATACAGAATTAAATTGAAATATATATCTCATTGGGTACAGGTGGCTTACACCTATAATCCTAGCTACTTGGGAGACAGAGATCAGGAGGATTGTGGTTCCAAGCCAGCCTGGGCAAATAGTTTGAGAGATCCTAATTCAAAAATACCCAACATGAACCAGGGCTGGGGGCTGTGGTAGAGTGCCTGCCTAGCAAGTGTGAGATCCTGAGTTCAAACTCCAGTACTGCCAAAAAACCCCAAAAGAAATATATATCTCCATATCATAGACTGTTATCTGGCAATGAAAAAGAACAAACTCTTGCTAAATGAGACATGATGAGTATCAAAATCATGCAAAGTGAAAAAAACAGACATTATTGTTTCATTTATAGGATATTCATGAACAGACAAAACCAAACTACTATAATAGAGGTCAGAATAATGACTACCTCTGGAGTTGGGGTAATGCAGGGACATGAGCGGGGTTTTGAAATGCTAGAGATGTCCTCTGGAGCTGTACAGTCTATGCTGATGATGTGTGCCTTTGATGAAATGCTCACTACATTTAAAAAGAAGACACTGAGCCAGGTGCCAGTGGCTCACTCCTGTAATTCAATTGTGGTTCGAAGCCACCCTGGGCAAATAAATAGCTTGTGAGACCCTATCTAAAAAAAAAAAACCCTTCACAGAAAAGGGTTGGTGGAGTGGCTCAAGGTGTAGGCCCTGAATTCAAACCCCAGCACTGCAAAAAATTAAAAAAAAAAAAAAAAAGACACTGGCAGGCTGTGGTGGCTGACATCTATAATTCCAGCTACTTGAGAGGGGGAGGTAGGAGGATCAAGGCCCAATGCACATGGGCAAAAGCTCCAAACTCTTATCTGAAAAACAAAAGTATAGCAAAAATGTCTAGGGATATGTCTCAAGTGGAAAAACTGGAGGCCCAGAGTTCAAACACCAGTACATAAAAAAAAAAAAAGACTTTTTTTAAACATTATTATAATAAATATTCAGCAACTCAGTCCGTAAGTGGATGAAGTTCTCCTCTATCCTCCTTGGACCCTATCTCCACCACAGCCTTGGCCAGGCTGCACTAGCGGGTTTGCCAGCTTAAGGCTAACCCCACAGCTCTTTAACCACGTAAGCTGGAGGCACGTGACTGCTCCCAGTCTCCCCGCAGCCTGGAATTCCAGCACCCGCCCTGCCCCCAGCAAAACAACCTTCAAAACTGGCTGGCAGCCCGAGATTTTAAACTGTCTCCTTCCCTGATCCATTTCTCCTTAAGAGTATCCAAAAAAAAGTTAGAAAGATTTCTCTACAGGTCATTATGGCCACCTCTGACATCTCTTGAACTTTCCAGAGGCAGGGCATGTCCTGGCACCCACAGTGGCCCTTTGTTCATACCCAGACCCGCCTCCCTTGGGGTGGATGCCAGCATCAGGACTGCTCTTGAGGTGTCTTTGTCTTCTGGCTGGGCCTAGTTCCCTCAGCCCGCCCCCTCCCACTCCCATTTTCTCCAGCAAAATAAGCTGAATGCCCTCCAGAGGGCTGAGGAGGTAAAATGGCTATAAGTGCCACATGGGAATCCCATGACTGCAACTGTGAGTGACTGTTGGTGGCTTATGATGGGGACAGCTGTGGCCAGGAGACATCAGCATGTGGCTGGAGGAGGCCTGGCGTTGTAGACAGTCCAGGCTCCCTCAGGCGAGCTGAGATGGAGGGTATGGGAAGAGGACATACACAGAAGAGGAAGCATGGTCCACTGCCCCCTTGGCTGCTCAGGGACCCAGGTGGGAGTGAAGGGTGGGACTTCTGGGCGGGCTGCCTGCTCTGCTTCTATTGCTGCGTGACACCAGGGTGAATGAGTGCCTTCTCTGCATGCAGATGTCTTCCTGACTCCAGGAAGGAGGGAGGCTTCACCAGAGCTCTTCAGGTGAGGCAGGCAAATACTTGGGCTGCCAGGGCTCACTCTCTCCCCCTCCCACCCCTCCCTTTCTCAGAGTCTGTAGTTATTTCCCCTTTTCTGGGGCAAGATTCCTTACCCAGATAAATGCTCATCTTTGATATCAGTTGTATGCTCATTGTGGGTGGTGGCGTCTAGGACCACCCCCCCCACAACCCCCCCGCCAATAGACCTAGTCTCTGGACCATCAAAACCACATCGCATGCCATACCCACTCTGCCTTTCATGAGGTGCTGGACCAACAGTGAAGACCAAACCTTCCTGCGTAAGGAACAGACTAGAAACAGGGCAGGTGTCCTGATTCAGCCCGGAAACCTGTAGTCCCCTTGTTCTGGGAGGAAGTAGCCTCCACTTTTCCATCTATAAAATGGGGTGGATGGATAGTCACTACACTAACCAGAATGTAAATTTGCACAATGGTGGCATCACATGTGATGTGTACACTCTGGATTGTTTTTCCCCTAGTGCTGGGCATCAGGCCCAAGGCCTCATGCATACCAGGCAAGTACTCAACTATTGAGCTGCACGCCTAGCCCGTGTGCACTCTCCATAAAGCAAAGGCGCCATCTTGCTGTGCAGACTTGAGTCCCCACAATTACACAGCTCACATTTGGTCATCTGCAGAGATAGCCAAACAAGATTTCTTCAGAGACTTGGGTTTGGGCCTGGACCCTCCAGATTGACCCATTCCTAACTCTCTTGAGGGGATGAGGCTGGGGAAGCCCCAAATCCTAAATAAAGAGCCAGGAATCCTTTTCAGTTCATCCTGAAGACAATGGGAGCCACTAATAATTCTTACCACTTGATGAAGTGTTTAGGAAGGGTGAGCTTAGTACTTGGGTAGTCAGGTGAAGGAAAAGAGGCTGAATCCAAGTCCTGCTGGATTGTCATGTAAGAGACTTAGACTTCAGGAGAGGAAGGAAAGACAACAGGAGGTCATCTCTTTAGGAAGCCTTCCAGTCTCTGCTGTCCAGCTCCCTGCCTAACCCTATCATTGGTCTGCTGTGGTCTTCTCAAGGGTCTCACATGATAGGAAGCTGGTTATTCAATTTGCTCAGTGTTTTATTGAACCAAGACCCTACCAGATGACTCAGCAAGGCCTTCCAGCACAGCCCTTCCCGCACTTTGAGATTCAGACCCCAGAGGTGGCTCAGTCCTTGATTTAGCTGCTTCCGTGACATCGGGTCTTGAACATCTTCAAATGCTAAGTGTAAAGACTTTTGTCCACACAGACACACATACATACATTCCTGCTGCAGCCTGCCATGCTCACCAAAATGCTTCTACTCTGTGTGTACATACATGTGTGCAAGGCGCTGTGTACCCATGGCCATCCATCTATCCATTCACCTGTCCATTCGTCCATCTGCAACAGGACAGCAGCAAATTCTGACCAGTCAGGCTCCAGGGTTTACAGCAATGGGGATGGGGCTCCCAGGCCCTCAAGGATAACACCCCTTTCTCGGGGAACAGAAGCCAGGGCCAGGTGGGTAATTATGTTTGACTCTCTACCCCCAGCTGGGCAAGGGGAGTCTACATAGCCAGCAAGACATAAAAGTGAGACGAACAAAAATAGAGCCTGAAAATAACACTACAACAGGAAAGAGTAAGAGCTTACATTTACACTGGAGGTGCTTTGTGCTGAGGGACAGGAGAGGAAAAGAGAAAGGGGCAATGTGGCAGGGACACCATGATTCTTGCAGAGGGCAGGAGCAGCCCTACTGATAAGTGCTCAGGGCCACAGTTGGGCTTGCTCTACCCATCCTTGGGGGCTGTGGCTCTCCTACCCTCAGCTCACATATACACAAAGGGGCTTTTCTGGACATATAAGACAAGGAAGAAGAAAAGCATAAAGGTTCCTGCTAAATACAAAATACGTCCTCTGAGCTGGTACTAATCTACCAGGCTGACACTAGGATATGGAAAGTGAATGGAGTGAGACAAAGGGAATCAGAGACAGGGGCAGATGGACACCACACCCATGCCATCTCTCCCCTAGATAGCACCTAGGGCCTCCAGTAGGCCCTCAGTCCTGCAGACCCATGGGACCACCAGCCTCCAGGCCCTGCGAGGCAAGGAGGGTGGCAGAACTGACACTGGCCCCTCATTGGTCCTGCAGCCGGCTACAGAGCTCCCGCCGGCTCCGTTCCCCAGCCCAGCTGCGTGTCTTGAGGCGGAAGGTCCTCAGCTCAGCTCTGAAGGCCTCATGGTTCATAGGCCGGTAGTCCTGGGGCTCGCAGAAGTTCTAGGGCAGGATGGGAGGAGTCTATCAATAGGGGGACAGTTGGGGGAGAACCAGCCCCCCTTTTTCTTTTTTGGTGGGACTGAGGTTTGAACTCAGAGCTTTGCACTTGCAAAGCAGGTGCATTCTATGGCTTGAGCCACACCTCCAATCCATTTTGCTCTAACTCTTTTGGAGATAGGGTTTCCAGAACTATTTGCCTGGCTTGGCCTCAAACTGCAGTCTTCTTGATCTCTGCCTCCCAAGTAGCCGCCTGCACCCAGCAGCCCTCCCTTCTCTAAGGGTTACAGCTTGGCTGAGCCCTGTCCTTTAGTCCAAGTGTGACACAACGGCTGGGTCGCACCACCCTGCCCATGGTACCGGGTGCTGTGGGAAGAACTCCTTGTAGCCGCCTTTGAGGATATACATCTCAGGGTAGTACAGGCTGGGGTAGTCGTTAGCCGCTCGGTCTCGTTCCCTGATGAATCGGCACCTGGAGCAGCATGGTGGGAGTTGGGGATGGTGTCAGAGCTGGCCATGTGGTGAGATGCACACAGGGGACCTGTTGCCCATATCCACTTGTTTGAGGGCTTTTGGGAGCCACAGAAAACTTATGAACATGGGAATGTCAGTCACAGATCAGTCTGGCTATTGGGTAAGAGAGATTAGGGCAATGTCAGGAAGGAGGTAAATCAAGGGGGTGGCCTCTGTGTTTCTGAAAGGCAGCTGTGCACCTTTTGTTAGAGAGATCCGTGGCCTGGATCAGGAAAGAGGACGCAAGAGAGGTGACAAGCACACATAATACAAGAGATACATCCAGGAGGGCTCCTGAACAGATTGGCATCTCAGAGGAGAGGAAGGTAGTAAGGATGAGGCCACTGTACAGAGGATCTGGGGGCAGATTTCAGCTCACTGTAAAGCCTGAATACAGCGCCACCACCAGCTGTCAGATGGAGCTGGTGGCAACCCTGGGATAGGAGGTAGGGAAAGGAGAGACCACGGGGCAAAGCATGAACACAGACAGGAGAGACTTAGGTGAAAGAGGCCAAGGACCCAGGTTGTGGACACCAAGGGAACAGAATTCCAAGAGAGACGTAATGGCATCAAATACCAGAAGCTGAGCATCACTCAGGATAGGGACAGAATACTGACAAGGACCTTGGATTTTTTTTTTTTTTTCCTTTGTCAGTACTGAGGTTTGCCTCATGCTTGCTAGGCAAACACACTACCACTTCAGCCATGCCTCCAAGCCTTTCTGCTTTCATTTGTTTCAGCTAGGATTTGAGGTCATCCTGGAACTGCAATCCTTTACCTCTGCCTCCCAAGTATCTGGGACCACAGGCATGAAGCAACATGCCCAACTTGTTTTTTGAGATAGAGTCTCCCTAACTTTTTGCCTGGACTGGCCTCAAATCGAAGTTCTCCTATCTCCACCTCCCCAGGCACTCAGGATTTCTGAGGACATTGCTGGATACTTAGCACCAGATTTTGAGGTAGACGGTGGACACAGGGCCTCATGGGATGACAGTGAGGGTGCCTTCCATAGTAAGGAAGTAAGGTTAGCTCTAGGCATCAGATGAGGCAAGAGGCCCAGGCTATAACAGCCATAGCCTGGGTAGGGAAGGCAAAGGGCAGGTACGAATGGGCTGGTTGGGTGGAGCTGGGACTCACATTCGAGGCCCACGCTCAGATGAGAATTCACAGTGGAAAATGAGGATGATTCTCTTGTCCAGGTTACAGGGTGTGATGGGGCTCTGCAGCAGGAAGTTTTCGGCATCCCGTTCCAAGGGCAAGTTCACAGCTGTCTGTCAGAGGAGCTGAAGGTCAAGCCAAGTCTCTGCCCCAAAGGCAGACCCTTCCCCTTGGCATTTTGCGGAGGTGACTCCACCTTTTCCTAGGCAGTTCCCTCCCTGTGAGAGGGTAAATCTGCCTCTAGTTCTGGGCAAGGGAACTGAACCAAGTGGGGTAATGGCCCCCCTTCACCCGTCTCACCTTGATGTGCCCGCCTTCATACTCATAGGGGTATCTGCAATCCACAATCACAAACTTCTCCACAATGTTGCTGAACTTGCCTGTCAGCAGGGCCACCATCTGCAGAGGCCATGGGGGTTGGTGCCAACAGGTGAGGCTGGCGGCTGGGGGCTGGCACTCGCCCTTCCACTGGTCTATACATACAGCCTATCCCCAGGGGAGGTCAACTGCCAAAGAGTGATCCCAAATGCACTGGGAAGTGTTTCAACCCTGCTTACAGTTTCTGGTGAGATGTACTTGAGATCTTGATGTTTGCCATCCACAGTCTGGAGAAGGAAGGCCTAAAGGGATGTGTGAGAAACAGTGACAGAGTCAGGGTAGAAAGTGAAAGTGGAGAGACAAGAAGCCTGGAAAGGACAGAGCTTTGTTCCCAAGCCCAGAGGCCACACCTGCTTTGGCCTTCAAATTCAGCTGTGGTTCCCATAGCAACCAACAGGCCCTCCTGGGTCTGATACCCAGGGAACAACCTTCCAAGAAGAAGGTGAGGAAAGGAATAGAAGACAAGAACTTTCTGCTTCCTGCCCCCAAGGCTCTGCAAGCCCAGGGCATGAGGCAGGAGGCTGATCCATGCTAGATATTAGTTTGGAAATGTTTTCCAAGACTGAGTTACATCAGATGCCTGGAAAGATTTGAGGTAGAGTCAGGAAACCAAGGAGAGCCAGAGGGAGGATCTGCGAGGGAACGAAGGATGAAAAGATATAAAGGAAAAGAAAAGGGGACCTCTAGGAAGAAAGACAGAGCTAAAGTAGCTCTTGATCTAGAGGTCCACAACGGATAACAGGTCAAGCTTCCTGAGGGCCCCACACTAGTACCTTGGAGTAATCTCCGATCAATCCATGGTGATCACTGTCTAAGATGCTCTCAATCTCGTCATGACACAGGGACTTTGAGCGAAGCACACGGGCTTTCTGGGAGGTGAAGCAGATAAAGGCCAGGGTCAGGAGTGACACTGTAGCTGCCTCTCAGTGCCCTGTCTGACTGGAACCTTCTTTCTCTGCCACCTACAACTACCTACACACTGCCCTCTGCCATAAACCCAGCCAAAAAGGCAGTACCCAGACACATCCCCAGGTGGGCAATGACAGCACAGTCCCAGGAAGACACTCACAGGTTCCTCAGGCTGCTGCTGCTCCTCCAGGGGGGTCAAGCTCCTCCTCCGCTTGCTCTGGACAGGTGTATCCCTGTCCTGGGGCCGCTCCAATCTCTTGAGGATGGGCCGGATCACGCTGCAGGGCATGGATGGAGATCGGAAGAGCCGCTGGCACTTGCTGAACATGATGAGGTCCTGGTGGGAACAGCAGGTCCGGGGTCAGAATGTCCAGACCCCCAACCCCAAATCCCACCTGGAGAGAAGAAGGCCACCCCTCCAAGTTCTCAGGTGGGGGCACCCCAGAGGCCCACCTGTTCCTCTTCTTTATTCACCTTCTTGACCAGTGGGGCACTAATGAGGCTCTCCATGCTTGGGGGGACCACATCATCATCCTCAGGTGAAATCAGCAAGGTCAGGGTCACAACCACAGGCATAGGGCAAACTCCTGAATTTTCCAACACGATCTTCCCTACTCTCCCAGCAATACGAGGCTCCAGCCCTACCAACTCTGCTGGCTCCTCCACCTACAGGAACACCCCTCCAAGACCCCAAAACTGCAGGGACCCACTTGCTCTGGGGCTTGCACTGAGCTGTGGGAAGCCCCTCCCCGCAACCCCCACACATCCTACTCAGCCTCCACTCCACTGCAGCTACAGCCACTTGCTCCTTTTTGATTGGCCAGACATCAGGCTGTGACTCAGTTACCTCAAATTCTTCTGACGTTGGAATAAGGTCATAGCCTTGCTCCCAGAGAGAAGGATGTAGATGCTTGGCAGATTTAAAGGCTGTTTACCTTTAAATCACTGTCCAGGATATCCACGAATCCATCGTCCTCCTCAGCAGCCCCCTCTGCAGGGGTCATGGAGAAGCAGGATTGGGCCACAGGACACAGCTCCTGTATTTCCACCTTCCGCTCTGGCGTGAGACACTGTCCACCCGAACAACAAACAGGCATGGTGTTCTCATGGGTGGGGACTGCTATCCCTTGTGAGGACAGGTCCCCAGTGCCTAGGGTCCCCAAACCACCCTTTTCTTCCCCCAGGCCTCCTCTTGAGGGCCCTACAAGGGATCAGCTGTTTTATGTACCATCAGGTCAGGGGCTGAACTTGGCCTCTGGGTAAAGGACTCTCTGCGGCTTGCCCAGGCCGCCAGAGCTTGGGTAGAGCTGGCAAGTGTGGGCTTCCAAGGCATCTTGAAGACAAATCCATCCTATGGGCAAGATGCAAGAAGAGGTGATCGAATACTACTGGATTACTCCAGCACACCTGCTGCTCTCCCTGTAGCTTCCCCATCCAGGAATCTGGAAGCGTACATTCTCTTTGTTTTCCCCAGGGCTGTTGGCAACTCCACTGCCTGCCTCATTCTTCCTCCAGCTCTCTTGGGCTTGGGAGTTGGTGATGTTCCGCAGCACAGGGCTATGGCCCAGCAGCCTCACCTGAGGTAGAGATTGAGGTAGAGCAGCAGGTACTGATGGCTGCATTCCTCTGCCACCACCCAGGCCCTACCTGCTCCCACCCCACTCCCACTCCAACTCTTCCAGCCTGCCCAGCCAGCCTCGGGACACCAGGCTGCCTTAAGCTCACCGGCTAGGAGGTGACCCCATGTTGCCTTCTGCCTCTGCCCCTGCCCAGCATGCATGCCTAAGCGCCCTGTCAGGCCTTAGGACACTCACCGGCAAGGACTGGAAGCGTCTTATGGCAAACTGTTCGCTGCAGAAGGGACATGGTAAGTCAGGGCTGGGGAAGTTGGGGGCAGGGACTGAGGGCAGGCAGGATGTCCCTGTACCAGAGCCTTCTATACTCTGAGGGAAAGCCTGAAGTAGGTACAGAGGGCTGGGTGTACTTACTTTCGAATGACTCGGCTGGCTGCCTGGATGGCCTGTTCAAACCTAGAAAGAGAAGAGAGAATGCATCTTCACTGTAGCCTATCATCTACCCCCAGGACCAGGTCCCAGCCCACAGGGGCCAGGGACCAGGGATGAGGACAAGAACAAGGAGCAGGGGAATGGGAAGGGCAGAAAGAAGTCCATTATCAGTGAGGCCCAGGTATTGGGGAGGAGGGAGATGAGAGGCGGCTTGGGATTTTAAAGGCTGCTCTGAATGGAAGAGGGCCCAGAGAATGGCAGTGAGAGACAGCTGGGGCAGGTCGCAAGGTCACTGAGGCGTCACCAAGGCAACAGTCTCGCCAGCCTGCACCAGCACAGGCCTTCCACCTGTATGCAAATCACCTTATCGGGGCCATATGGCCGCCAGGAAAGGCATCCATCCATCCCATGATGACAGGCCATGGGCATCCAGCAATGTGGGTGTCTCCAGGACTGGATTCCAGCAAAGCTGGCCTGGCTCCCTCCAGGACAGGGGCCTGCAGCCCAGTGTGCCACAGCAGACCCCCTAAGGACTAATGTACAGGATCACATCCTCTCCTCCCTCCTATGGAATTTTCCCGGACCCAGCTTCTGTCCCATCCCCTCCTCCTGCCTTAGAAGAGGCCAACAGGAAAGGAATTCCAACAGATGTTCCTTTTGAGGCTAGGGCATAAGCGTCTGTATGTAGCTCCCTCCTCCCCCCCAGCTACTTTACTGCAGACCACCTGCCACGCAGAGCTTTTGTGCACACACATACCAGCTTCTTTTTGAGAAACTCTATAACCCGCAAAGCAGGTGCAAAGATAGGGGAGTTACTCAGTGCTAGTGTCAGGGGTGCCCCTCCCCGCTAGGGGGCTGTGCCCAGTCAACCTGGCATCAGACATGACCAGTTTAATTGGTTTGGTTTCTAATCTGCAGCTGGGCCTTGGAGGTAAGCAAGGAGAGCTGTGTTGCCACTAAAAACCAACCCACAATCCTCCCACCCCCACCCAATTCTGTTTCCTGTTTGTGAACAAACCCTGAGCCCAACCCATTCTGATCAAAGGCAACAGGAGGAAACAGTCACTGCCCTAAACCCAAAGCCACAGTCCCCTAGCCCAGGCTGGGGATGCCCAGCTGTCCCTACTAATGGTTCGCAGCTGCTCTGCCTGCTTGGACCTTAACAGCTGTATGAGAACAGGTGTGTTCTGGAAGGTGCCTGCTCTACCCAGAGCAAAGGCCACCAATTTTCTCTCCACTCCCTCTGGCAGGGAGCCTGGCCCAGGGGTTGACAAGAGTCAAGTGTCATTAAAAGCCAGAGGTTGCTGATGGGCCAAGCCAGTGTGCGGGCAACTGTGTTTTATTTGGCCTAGAATGAGTTAAAGTTTTGAATTTTTTTTTTTTTTTGTTTTGTTTTAATGTTTTTGGGGTTTTGAAATAGGATCTCACCATATAACCCAGGCTAGCCTTAAACTCGTGATCCTTCAGCCTTAGCTTGCTATATGCTGGGATTACAGGTGTGCCCCACCATGCTTAGCAGGACCATATTTTTAAATTGCATAGTTCACACACACAAATGTATATAAGAAAAAAGAAAAATGGGACAAGCTTATATTTTTGAAAGACAAGAGCTAGCTGAAGTCAAGTATCCTCTGCTCCCCACCATCCTTGGTCCTAAGCCCAACTGGTTCCCATGAGAGCAGACCCCCCATCAAGGCCTGGGAAGGCCAATTACCCACCCACACATGGGGATCCTGAGGGATTTATCTACTTTCTGAGGCTCCTGTGAGTTTATGCTAGAACTAGGAGTCCCAAAGGCAGTGGGTGGGGAGTCCCTTTTCTCTACTCACGTCTGCTCTGCCATCTGGGGGTCCACAGGGCTTGGGGAATCCATGCAGAGACCTGGGGGGACGGAGCACCTTGGTTTGAAAGTAGCAGTATTGTTTGTCTATATACTTTCCTCCACCACATCCCAAGAAGGGAAAAAGCAAACTGTTTTAATTTGAGATCTGGAAACATTAAAAAATGAAGTAAAACCTACCACGGATCCTGAACATGACACATTGTCCCTCAAAGGGCAAAGTGCTCCACTCCCTGCTCACTACGGAAACTCAGCTTTTGGAACCACAACGCTTTCTAAGCATTTTTCTTAAGCTGGTTTAAAATAATTTGGGAGAGACAATGGCTTTCTAAGGAAAACAGCTATAGAATAAGAGAATGTTCTAAAAAAGACCAACTTTCAGCCCTAAGTGCCTTCTGGGTGGAGCTGTGGTTTAGGGATTTTGGCGCCCGGTTTTGACTAGGTAAGCTCTCACCTCCTACGAGAGGGCCCCACCCTCCCAGGCTCCCCAGTTTGGGTTGGGTGTGGTGTGTCTTCCAGCTTTGTGGGCAGGGCAAGAGAGGCTCCTGGGCTCACCAGGTTGTAGGAAGGATGTTAACCTGATGGGCAAGAAATCAGGAAGCTCCCTGAACTCTTCTGGCACTGGGGGAACCTCCCCAGGAATCCCACCTTTACCTGCATCAGAAGATTCGGAGGACTCAGATGACAGGGACGATTCAGATGCTCGCCTGGACAGGCGTGTCAGCCGCCTGTGGAAGGACAGGCTCCCTACCACACTCTTTGGGGTGTCGCTGGGAAGGGATTCAAGAAAGGAGAAAGGTAAGAGTAGGGCTCAAGGGTGAGCTGGTCCATGTTCCTACCCACTCCCCCACCTCTGAAGAGCCCACCCAGCCTCTGCACTGCCAGCCCAGGGACACACCAAAGGCGGCCATATCACAGGTCTACCCTCTTCTCAAGTCAAAGTGGCTCATTTCACTGAGGCTCTAGAGTGTCTTCTGGGTTGATTAGTTTAGAAAAACCCTCCCAGGTGCAAGGAGGGATGAGCCAGCAACCAGGTTGTAGAGGCTAGGCTGGGCTGGGGGCAGTACAGAGAGTTTCCCTGCTCTTCAGACTTCCCTGAGTCTTCCCCAGAGCAAGGGCTCCGACCTGGGTCTCTACTGCAGCTGGGACCCCACAGGCTTTGCTTAGAGATCAGGATCAGCCTTTAATCACTTTCACCCTAGGGGCAGAAGGGAGCATGCAGGGAACAGGGGCAAGGAAGAACCTATACAAACCACTGCTGTTCACCCCTGAATTCCCCCTCCAGGCTTGGGATCCCTTGCCTGGGGCAAAATGGTGGCGCTTGGGGCACAGACTAGGGAGACAGCGTGGTAGAGGCACAATGAGGGAGGGGGAGGGGCAAGACGGTCCCAAGCAGGTCAGCTGGAGGGGTAAGTCTATATAGTCTATGTCTCAGCGCTCTTGCCCTGGGTCTCTGAAGCTGGGGTAAAGGCGTCGTTGCTGCTAAGCACCCTAGTCAGGGCCTCCCATCCCATACCCAGTATCCTTGGGGCGTCCTTACCTGCCGAGCCCGGAGAGGTTGTGCATGGTCTGGGTGAGGGTAGTGACCGGAGAGGAAGACGCCGCGCGCTCCGGGGACCCCAGGAGGCCATGAGACCCCAGGCGGAGGCCCGGGAGGTGACCTGGACGCTGAGCGCCACCGCGGATGCCCGGCTGACTGAGAGCCGAGCCCGGTGCAGGCTCCGGCTGGGGCACCTCCATAGCCGAGGGGCGGACAGAAGGCTACAAGGCCGGATGCACTGAGGCCAACACACGCCGGGCACAGCTGGCCGGCACCAGGGAAGGAGCCGGCCCGGGGTAGGGGCAAAGGGGGGGAGGGAGGAAAAGCAACGGGAGCGAGGGAGGCGAGGGTGGAGAGGGATGCGGGGAGGGTGGGAGGGGGGGAAGGGACGCGGGGCTAGGCAGCAGTTCGGGAAGCCTCTAGTCACAGCTGCCACCTCCACCTCCTTATATATTCGAAAAATAACAGCGGCCGCGCCGCCAGACGCCACCAATGGGGGCGCGGGTTAGAGGAGGGCGGGATCGAGGGCGGGGCCGCGGGGTGAGCTGCCAGCAGGCTGGACAAGCCCGGCCCACCCACTTTGGGTGGAGCAGAGGAATTGGGGTTTATCCCATACCCCTGCACATCTCTTCCACCCCACCCCAGCCTTCCCGCACAAGGATCCTGGTCTCCAGAATCCCATTTCTTGGGGTGCATTTGGAGTTACCCTTCCCCCCCACCCAGTGGAAGCAGCAGCCCCTGCAGCAGCCCCTAGGGTGGTCTCAGAACGACCTCTCGCTGTTTAACTTCGCGCACGATTACCAACCAGTAGGGACCGTGAGATGCTCCACCTGACTTCAGGAAGTTTGCCAAATACAGTTCTGTAAGATCTGCTTTCCCTTTCCCATTTTACAGACCGGGGCGTTGAGGCATGGAGAAGTTCAATAACCCATTAAAGGTCACGCGTTTGAGCAAGTGATGGAGCCAGTATAAACTCCTCCCCCGGAGCCTCCGACCCCGCAGCCTCCCGGCATCGCACAGCAGCGTCGAACCATAATTCGTAGGCGGAGGGAGGCCCTAGAGCTGGAGGTGGGCGGGCGGCGGGGACCCGAGCGGAACTGACAGGAGCTTCCGGGTCCCGAAGGTTAGACGCGACCCCTTCGGGGCCCAATTTTCTCCCGCAGCCCCACCAGAGAAACCAGAATTACCTCACACCCACTAATGGTTTGGCTAACTTGGTGTCAATGGCACCATATTGTTTAATTGGGGTTTCTTTGATGATGAGGGAGGCTGAATTTGTCATTAGCATCTTCTAATTATCTAATCACCTTTCAGCCAAGCCTGTTTTCCTGGACGGAGCCAATAAGGAGCTGGTGGGCAGTTGGGAGCTTTACTTTCCCCAGGGAAGAGGCTGTCACTATCTGGGTTGGGGGAGGGAGGCACAGCTGAGGAAGCAGAAGTTGAGTGGGAAACTTGTGTATTTATCCATGCAGTCCCAACCATCCGTCCTAGGTGGAGCAAGAGGACCCATATTATTATTTATTTATTTATTTTTGCGGGGGAGTAGGTTAGGGCACCAGGTGGTTCGACAGATAAGCGAAGGAAGGGAAGACCCTAGCCCCATCAGAGAGGAGTGACCAAGGTGGGAATTTTGCCCAGCTCCTGTTCAGGGCCAGGCACTCCACGGTCAGATGGACATGGATCCATTTCCTGTTTGGGTCAAGGGTCAAGTTCCAAATCTCCAGCCCCTACCCACAGAGACTACCCTCAGTGTCAGGAGTAGGAGGGAGGAGTGTGCTGCTATTTGGCCTCCCACCCCAAAGACCTGGAATAAAACTGCCCTTAGGGTGGCAATTTCAAAACCAACACAGCAGGTTCTTCCCCGCCTGCCACTCCCACCCAACACACATAGGGGGTATGAGAGGGAAACCTGCTGTGTTGATTTTGAAAATCTCCTGATATCTCATAGCCAGAAGTGGTCTCTGCCGTGCGGTGGAAAAGCAGGACCACAGAGGAGTCTGTCCTTCTAAGCATCCCAACACACCAACTCTGTGTCTTCCTGAATCTCCTTTTGCCAAGTAGATCATAGAGTAAGTGCTCAATTAAATTTAAAAAAGTTATGAGAAAGATTTGCAGACAAGCATGGTGATACACACCTGTAATCTGACATTTGAGAGGATGAGGCAGGAGGACTGTGGGTTCCCTACCAGCCTCAGGTATATGGCAAGTTCTATGAACTACATAGTGAGACTCTTTGTCTCAGGGGAAAAAAAAAGAAAAGGAAGGGATATATTTGTGATTAGGATAGTAAGAGGCCCAATTCCTCCCATCTAGCCAGGCTCTGGTCATACATGTGGGCTGCACAAGACCCCATCTTCTTATGAAAGCAGACACCCTGAGTCTGAGCACCTCAAGCTCTAGACTTCTTCCAGGGTGTCTGGTGTGACAGCAGGGCTTAGGCAGAGAAGCAGAAAACATGACCTTGTTTCTAAAGTCTCTCCAAGCCTGTTCCCATACGCCATCACCATTGTGGAACTTTCCTCCCTTCCTGGATCCTTTTCTGTCATGGATTGCAATATATTAAATAGTTTTTTGGGTTTTTCTTTTTTTTTTGAGAGGGTCACAATCCTCCATGCCAGGCTGTAGCTTTTAAAAATTGTTACATGGGGCCAGGTGTGGTGATTCATGCCTGTAATTCCAGCATTTGGGAGACTAAGGTAGGAAGAGATCCTGAGCTTGAGGCCATCTTGGACTACATATGGAGTTCCAGGCCAGCCTAGGCTTCATAGTGAGGCCCTGTCTCAAAGAACAAAACAAAACAAAAATTGCTACATGGCACCAAAATTCAGACAAAGAACAATTTAAATAGTACCAAAGGCAGTGAAAAGTCAGTATCCCCCCAAACCCTCAGGACCCTTTCCCAGCAGCAGTCAATATTATAAATTTGTTGCATCTTCTCCTAGAGATAGTCTACAACTAGCCAATGGAAACATAATGGTGGGTACAATGTGAGCTACAAACAGAATTTAAAATTTCTTAGTAGCCACATTAAAAAAAGTAAAAAGTGGCTGGAGGTGTAGCTAAGCGATAGAGTGCTTGCCTCTCATATGCAAGGCCCTTTGTTAAATCCCCAGTACTGCAAAACCTAAGTAAGGCAAAAAAAGAAAAAATGAGACTACTTTTAATATTTTATTTAACAGAACATATTCAAAGTATTATTCAACATGCTATCAATATAAAAACTATTGTGAGATATATGACATGCTCCTGATACAATCCAATGTGTGTTTTATGGTAACAGCAGATCTCAATTTGCACTTGTCACATTTCAAAGATTCCACAGCCACATGCGGCTACCCGGCTACCATTCTCCACAGTGCGGGTCATTATGTTTACAAGTATGGGTACACTTATATTTTAAAAAGTATACGAACGGGGGGAGAAATGACCCAAACATTCTATGCACATATGAATAAAATAAAAAATTTTTAAAAAGTATACAAACAGCATATGAAACATTGTTCCAGATCATTCACTTTCCTCATTTGACTTGGAGATGATCCATATTAGTACCATAATAGTCTATGTTTGCTCAAGCCCCAGTGATGAACCCTTAGATCATGTGCTTTTCTAATGATGCAGGAAATATACCTGTACATGTTTGTGTGCTCTATAGAATGATTTCCTAGTGAGGGACTGCTGGAAGGTACAGGATTGTGTATTAAAACCTGCCTTTCACTCTTCCTGAATCTCATCTCCTTAAGCTGACTGAAAGACAGGGAGAGACCCAGTCATTTACGTCTTTCAGTCAGTCTCCCAGAATCTTTTGTTGTTGTTGTTGTTAGTACTGGGATTTGAACTCAGGTCTTCACACTTGAAAAGCACCTTGAAGCCACACCTCCGGTCCGTCTTTTGCTCTGGTTATTTTAGAGATGGGGGTCTCATGAACTGTTTGCCCAGGCTGGTCTGGAACTGCAATCCTCCTGATCTCAGTCTCCCAAGTAGCTAGGATTACAGGCATAAGCCACCAGTGACCAGCTTCCTAGCATCTTGTAAAGGCCTGAGCCCAAGGCTGGCCTCTGACCCTAATATACCACATCAAGGGATTTCTCCTAAAGAGATGATAAAAGTACATATGGATATATGCTCTGAGCCATTGTTCTTCCATACAAGGCTGGTTCCTATGTACCTGCAACAGTTGCAGCCTTTAAAAAGGATAGACAGTTGGGGAAGGATGCCTGACAGCTGCCAGGGGCTCAATAAGCAATTATTGATTACTGAATGACTACAAATTGGGCTCCCAGAAAAGTCTTTTGAACAAAGGGTTCCTAGAGTAAAAGTGTGAAACTCACTTATGTTGAGATTTGTTAACAATATGGGCTACAAGTTATTATTCCAAATACAGTACAGTTTAAAAACAATAAACATCATTCAGGAGCCTGAGGCAGGAGGATTTCGTTATGTAGCCTAGGCTACATAACAAGATGCAACCTCAAAAAAAAATATGCATGGGAAAATGTTCTATGAAGATAGTCTTTGAGTGATAGAATTAAAAGAGGTCAGGTTTTTATCCTCAAGTTCAAAACATTCACTAAAAAAACAGGTATATATATTCTTTCAATACTGGGATTTGAACTGAGGGCCTTTGCTTGCTAGGCAGGCGCTCTACCACTTGAACCACGACCCCAGGCCTTTTTTGCTGTAGTTTTTTTTTTTTTTGATAGAGTCTCACATTTTTTGTCTGGGTAGGCCTGGACCCCTGTCCTCCTCCCTGTGTGCCCCCCCCCCGCCCGCCCCAGTAACTGGCATCATAACTGCCTTGTTTGTTGAGATAGAGAGTCTCACTAACTTTTTCGCCAGGCTGGCCTTGACCTTAATTCTCCAGATCTCTTCCTCCCAAGTACCTGGGATTACTCACCCAGCCAAATCTTGTTCTTCCCCCCACCCCGCTCCCACCCCCCAGTACTGGGGTTAGTTTTTTGTTTTTCTTTCTTCCAGTACTGGGGTTTGAACTCAGGGATTGTGCTTGCTAGGCAAGTATTCTACCTCTTGAGCCATGCCCGGAAGCTACGACATGTAGTACTTCTTATTAAAGAAAACTTGAGCTGAGCATGGTGGCCCATGCTTATAACCCCAGGTTATAAGCAAGAAGGCTGAGGCAAGAAGATCACATAAGTTTGAGGCCAGCCTCAAACTTAGCAAGACCTTGTCTCAAAATACATTTAAAGGAAGGGGGAGGGGGCTGGGGATGTAGCTCAGTGGTAGAGAGCTTGTTTATTAATCCTGAGAATCTGGATTCAATACCCAGCACTGCAAAACAAACAGAAAACTTGAAAAATTCAACAAAGTGGGAGAAAGAGTCCATCCACAGTGCATTCATCCAAATACCCATTGATAATAAGCTGAGAACACGTGTATGCGTGGTGGTGGGGATTATGTGTGCATGGATGAAGTTTCCAACAGCGTCCTGAAGATACTTAGGAGTACGTCCTCAGCCAGGAGAATTCATATTCACCTTGGCACAGTGACCTTGTACCTGTCTTGGGGCCAAGCACTGATCTGGCCTCAATGAGAAAAAGTCTCCCATATTTTCTTCTGCCCCTTGAGATTATAAGACTATTTTTTTAAAATATATTTCAGGGGTGACAAAGGCCTTTAAGTATGACACAATCCAGAAGCAATAAAGGAAAAAAAAATGGACGGAGCTTGAAAACTACAAACTTCTCTTTCTAGGAAGGAAGGGAAGGAGGGAGGGGAGGGAGGGAAAGGGAAGGAGAAGAAAAGAAAAGAAGAAAGAGAAAAAAAGAAAGAAGGAAGGAAGAAAGAAAGAAAGAAAGAAAAACCCAGGAGTATAAAGGAGGGTGAATATGGTTGAGGTACCTTCTATACATGTATGAAATGGAACATTGAAACCTGTCAAAGTCATTTTAAGAAGGGGGAGGGGGAAGAAGGAGAAGAATAGAGAGGATGAATCAAACCATGGTACAATATATGTAGATACAGAAATGTCACAACAAAACTCCCTGTATAGCTATCATATACTAATGAAAAGTGTTTTTTAAAAAGACAAACACAAGACACACACAGACAAAGGTGGAAAATCACAGGATTCAAATGGCCCATAAACATATGAAAAGAAAAATGCACATTAAAACAACAGCTAGTTACACAGTCTTCCAGAACACTGCTCTGGTCTGGTTTTCCCCAGCTACTTTAGCTGTTCCTCATGAGCTGCTTGTTGGTTCTTTCTTGCACCCTTAACCTTGGAGCTCTCAGGGCACTATTCTTACTCTTTTCTCCTCCTCCTCCTTCTTTTTTTTTTTTTGACTCTTTTTAAGAAATTAGTTGTACACAGGGGTTTCATTGTGATCATTCTACACATTCATACAGTATACCTCCATTCAATTCCCTCTCCCTCCTCATAAAACAATTTCAGCATGTATCATAGTTCCATTTCATGCATGTTCAACAACATTCAAACCCTTCCCCCTTTTCTTCATCTGTACCCACTCACTTGAAGCTTCATTCAGCCCCAGGTCTTCAACCTGTCCCCCTGGGTTGCTGCTCTGTGAGACTTAAAAAGTCTGCATTGCACTCATTGCTTGAGAACTGGTTTGTTGTTGTTGTTGTTTTTATGAGTTTGATGCTCCAATCCGAGGCTTCAGGATTTGTGTGTATATATGCATATGTATAAACATATCAGCTATTTCTGTAAGTCAAATACACATATTATGGCTACATGCATGAAAAAGCCCAGTGACACACTGAAATGCTTATCAAAGATTGTAGGATTATTAGAACTTTTGAAATGTCATTAGCATCATCAAATAGATTTAAAACTCATACAAATAACCTAAATGTGTAACAGTAGGTTCATAGATTAGTGTTCATCCACGCTTGGAACAATTAAAAACGCTTAGAACCGTTAAAAAGCATGTTGGTAAGGAAATTTACCGATAAGGCAAAATTCTTATCACTTGATGCCAGGTAAAATAGCAGCAGATGCCAGATATACTTGACACCATACATTTGAAAACAAAAACTGCTTGCGCATAGAGAAAAGACTGGAAGGAAATGTATCAAAATGTTACCTGTGCTTCTCTCCAGGTGCTGGTGTGAAAGGTGATTTTTTTTAGCTTCTGGCATTTTTTGGTTTCCGAAAAAAACGTGAGTTATTTTTACCTTATATTAAAGGGGGAAAAAAGGTTGTTATTCTTTTTATGCAGCTAATCGCTGTCCACCCGGCGCAATGGCGACGCACCACGTCCCGGCTCGTGCCGATGCCCGCCGGTCGCTGGAGCACTGGCCGGTCCCGCAGGCCGCAGCGCCCCCGGTGGCAGGTCGGGGGCAGCGGGAAGGGGGTGGGCGCGGAGGACCGGGAGGCGGCGCCGGGCGTCCCCGCGCTTCCCGCGAGATCCCGCTCCACCCGCTCCGCCCCGCTCGCCGCACTTCCAGCTCCCCGCGCCGCGGCACTTCCTGCCTTCCGTGCCCGCGCCGCCCGCCCTCTCCCGTGCCTGCCGCCCGCCGCCCGCTGCCCGGCGTCGTCCCCGGAGGTGCCCCCGGCCCGCCCGGGTCGCCGCCCCGCTCGCCGCCCCGCGATCCGCTTTGTCTCGGGCGGGGCGCGCGGGAGAGGCCGCTAGGTGCCCCCCGCCGCGGGCCCGGGCCCCCCGCCCCGGGGTGGCGGCGGTGGTGCCGGGCCCCGGGGCGGGGGGCGCGCCGGGATGGGCCCCAAGCGGCGGCAGCTGACGTTCCGGGAGAAGTCGCGGATCATCCAGGAGGTAGAGGAGAACCCTGACCTGCGCAAGGGCGAGATCGCGAGGCGCTTCAACATCCCGCCTTCCACACTGAGCACCATCCTGAAGAACAAGCGCGCCATCCTGGCGTCGGAGCGCAAGTACGGGGTGGCCTCCACCTGCCGCAAGACCAACAAGCTGTCCCCCTACGACAAGCTCGAGGGGTTGCTCATCGCCTGGTTCCAGCAGATCCGCGCCGCTGGCCTGCCCGTCAAGGGCATCATCCTCAAGGAGAAGGCGCTGCGTATAGCCGAGGAGTTGGGCATGGACGACTTCACTGCCTCCAACGGTTGGCTGGACCGTTTCCGCCGGCGCCACGGTGTGGTGTCCTGCAGCGGGGTGGCCCGGGCAAGGGGGCGAAATACCGTCCCCCGAGCCCCAGCGGCACCTGCCAGCCCGGCTGCTGTGCCCTCGGAGGGCAGCGGTGGAAGTACGCTGGGCTGGGGCGCGCGGGAGGAGCAGCCGCCGTCGGTGGCCGAGGGCTACGCCTCGCAGGACGTGTTCAGCGCCACTGAGACCAGTCTGTGGTACGACTTTCTGTCCGACCAGGCCGCGGGGCTGTGTGGAGGCGATGGAAGGGTGCGCCAAGCCACCCAGCGCCTGAGCGTCTTGCTGTGCGCCAACGCCGACGGCAGCGAGAAGCTGCCCCCGCTGGTGGCGGGCAAGTCAGCCAAGCCCCGTGCAGGCCAAGGTGGCCTGCCCTGCGACTACACCGCCAACTCTAAGGGCGGTGTTACCACCCAGGCCCTGGCCAAGTACTTAAAGGCCCTAGACACCCGAATGGCTGCAGAGTCTCGCCGAGTCCTGTTGCTGGCTGGCCGCTTGGCTGCCCAGTCCCTGGACACCTCAGGCCTGCGGCACGTGCAGCTGGCTTTCTTCCCTCCGGGCACTGTGCATCCATTGGAGCGGGGAGTGGTGCAACAGGTGAAGGGCCACTACCGCCAGGCTATGCTGCTCAAAGCCATGGCCGCACTAGAAGGCCAAGATCGCTCAGGCCTGCAGCTGGGCCTCATGGAGGCCCTGCACTTCGTGGCTGCAGCCTGGCAGGCAGTGGAGCCTTCAGACATAGCCACCTGCTTCCGTGAGGCCGGTTTTGGGGGTGGCCTTAATGCCACCATCACCACTTCACTCAAAAGTGAGGGAGAGGAAGAGGAGGAGGAGGAGGAAGAAGAAGAAGAAGAAGAAGAGGAGGGTGAAGGGGAAGAGGAGGAGGAGGAAGAAGAAGAAGGCGAGGAGGAGGAGGAGGAAGCAGGAGAAGGAGAGGAGCTGGGAGAGGAAGAAGAAGTAGAGGAGGAGGGTGATGTTGATGACAGTGATGAAGAAGATGAAGAAGAAGAAGAGAGCTCCTCTGAGGGTTTGGAGGCTGAGGACTGGGCCCAGGGTGTAGTGGAGGCTGGGGGCAGCTTTGGGGGTTACGGTGCCCAGGAGGAAGCCCAGTTTCCTGCCCTCCGTTTCCTGGAAGGTGAGGAGGACTCTGATTCAGACAGCGAGGAAGAGGAGGATGAAGAAGAGGATGAGGAAGATGAAGACGATGAAGATGACGATGAGGATGGTGATGAGGTACCTGTACCCAGCTTCGGGGAAGCCATGGCTTACTTCGCTATGGTCAAGAGGTACCTTACCTCCTTCCCCATCGATGACCGGGTGCAGAGCCACATCCTCCACTTGGAACATGATCTGGTCCACGTGACCAGGAAGAACCATGCCAGGCAGGCGGGAGTTCGGGGTCTTGGACATCAAAGCTGAGCTTCTGGGCATACATGTGCCCCTGACCCAGATGGGCAGTACCAGCCCAGGGCAGAGAACCCCCTGGGCAGCCACTGGGGATGGAGCCAGAGGGGGGAGCCCCAGGGCCTTTAGTGATGCTTCCCTTGGCCCTGAGACAGGCCCAAGGGCTGAGGTCTGCCTCACTATCTGCTTATTGCCTCTTTCTCAGAATCCTCTTTCCTCCCCATTTGCCCCTGGGCTCGGGGGACCAGGTGGGGTGGGTGGGGAGCTGTCCGGTGCTACCACACCATGCCATCAGTGGACTAGACCACAACAGCAGCCAGGGATAGGCCCTGGAAGCTCCCGGCCGGAGAGTGCCTCTCCCCCGCACCATCCAACCAGGTCTTTGGTGGGGGGAACCCAAAGCCATTCTGGGAAGGGCTCCAGAGGAAGGTCCAGCCTAGGCCCCCACAAGGCTGGCAGGCCCCCCCATCCCCACCCTGCCCTCACCCCTGGGCCACCTCAAGAAGCACAGTCTAACTTACAGCAGGCTCCTAAGCCTGCTCTGCCTGCTTTCCACCTCCCTAATCCCTTTCTCTGGCCCAGTCTGTGTGACTTTGGCCCTTGGTTTTCTTTCCAGATTGGAGGTTTCCAAAAGGCCCTCCAGAGGAGTGACGGTGAGCACCTCCCTTGTGGGCAGCTGCAGGCCTCGTGCCTCTTTTCCCTCTCTGGCAGGGCCCTATCCTGGGCAGAGGGGCCTGGGGCTGGGCCCAGAGTCCAGCCATCCAGCTGCTTCCTTCCCAGTTTGAATTCAATAAATCTGTCCACTCCCCTTTTGTGGGGGTGAACGTTTTAACAGCCAAGGGTGCATCCTTCATGGTCTGGGCTTGCGTCTGTCTTGGGGGACACACCCTTTCTTTGGTTCCTTTTGATCCTTGCTCTGGTGGGACATGGAAGCAAGGGTTGAGAGGGTGGTCCTGACTGAGATCAGGGATACAGGGAGCCATTGACACCCATATCTAAATATTTCCAAGGCTTGGGGAGGGAAGGTCTTCAGTGTACCCATCCGGGAGTAGATTTGAGGAACCCTAGCCTTGCACTGCTTTGGGGTTAGAGAGAAACTTGGTTCACTTGACTGGGCAGGAGGGAGGAAGCCAACAGTATCTGTTGTAATATGCACCTGAGGATTAGAACCACCAAGACTGGTTAAAGAAGGTTCTTGTAGGATTACGGACAAGATACTGGGACAGCTCATGTGGACCAGGTTGAAGCTGGAGGGCCATACAGGGCATCCTTTGGTTTACCTTTGGAGCCCTAAGAGGGAGCCCTTCCGGCCTTTCAGTAATAGGCATCTCCTAGCCTGGTGGCCACCTTGAGGACAGTAGCAGGAGGAAGGTGAAATTACTGGGAACAGACCACCTCCAAGAGACTAAGGATGAGTTGGTAGCTCCCTGTGCTGTTTCCCCCAGCTCCCCAAGTCCAAAGGTGAAGACCAGCCCTTTGTCAGTCCTATCCCTCCTCCTTTCAGGCCCTGCCCTTCCCTCTAGAACCCTCCCTCACTGAGGCCCTCAGGCCCCCAGCGGTTCTACAGGGAAGGGCCAGAACCTCAGCTGGGCTGGCTTCTTTGAGCTCCAAACCGGTTTTCCCACCCTGCCCAGGGCTGGTTGGCAGGCTGGCATATCACCTCTAGTTCCTTCCCAACCTCCTCATCACCCCCTAGCCACCAAGTTCCTCCTCTCCCCACCCTGGAATGTTAGGGGGAGGGGGAGATCCAGGTCATCTTTTGTACCTTGCCTGCCCTGGGTGTGGTTCCAGAAAGGCAAGGCCATTGTATGGCTTTAAAGCAAGAAGGTAACTTCCACTCTTGGCCTTGTGCACTTTTGGCACACAGGGATCCCCTCCATCCCTTGAAGGTTTTTGAAGCAAAGTGACAACGAAAAGGAGTTGGGATTCCCCTTGGCATCACCCTCTTCCCAATCCTAGTTCTGGAGGAGGAGACTAGAAAGTCAAAAGGAAGCTCACCATACTCTATGGGCCTGCTCTGGAATAGGTAGGAGGGAGCAGTGGCCTTTCTAGGTGCCTCTGGCCAACCCAGGTCCCTCACCTCAAGTACCAACAAGGCAAGTCATATCTGTCTCCTGCCAATAAGAACACCTCTTTCGCTGGAGCTGATGTGATCTCAATACTGATATCACCAGCTGAGGGCTGGTAGAGTAGCTCAAATGGTAAAAATGCCTGCCTAGCAAGTGTGAGGCTCTGAGTTCAAATCTCAGTGCTGATACTAATATGGCCCTTGTGGTGTGCCAGGTCCTAATGACTTTAGATGTTCACAAAGTCCCTTGAGGTAGGGAAAACTGAACAGGCATGGAGTGGTTCAGTAATGTGGCCAAAGTCACACCATTAGTCTGTTGGAAGCAAGCTTTCTCTCCCGGATGACTCTAAAATCATCCTCTTTATAGCTACTCTGTACCCCTTTGCTAAGGCGGGACTCATTCCTAACCCTTCTAAAGGTAGTGCTGTTTTGAGATGGACCTGGTTACTTGAAATCAGTTTTCTTTTTAATCTACGGTGGTTCTTGGAGAAAGATGAATGATGTGGAAGTGTCTACAGGAGCTCTTGCTTTTATATAAATGACTCCCATTTTCCCCAATTTCCATACAAATATAGGTCTTACATGAATATTAACATTTTTTTCCACTTTGTAAATACTTTCCCATTACCGCATTGGGACAAGTAAGTGAGAACTATTCTCATTTCACAAAGGAAGAAATAAGGTTGAATTAAATGGCCTGCCCAAGGTACCACCATTGAACTCTGGTGCTTTCCCTTGGAGTCTGGGTTACTTATTAAGTGCCCCACCAGGACACTGCTGGAATGGAGGAGTGGCAATGGCCTGAGTACAGAACTTTGGGTACAGAGCCAGCAAGGAAGCACTATCAGACAGCTTATCACACAGCCTGGGTGGGTAGCAGATAAACAATGGGCTGACTCCATGTAAAGCTAAGAAACTTGGGGATACTGCCTTGATTTAAGATTGACAGGATGCGGAAGGGGGATCCCAGCCCAGAGGATGCTGATACAGTGGGTCCTGGGGGGCCTGGCTGGCTTTGGAAGATCCTAGAGTGAATAAGTAACTGGTCAGCAGGTGGGATGGGCACAGAGGTGATGCTTTCTTAGGAAGAAGGGGAGCTAAGGACATCCGACTGCATTTTCAAAGCTGGGGCCCAGGAGGAGGCAGTGCAGGTGAAAAACTACAACTCCCATAAGCCTCTGCTCCCAGGCAAGCAGGAGATGGTTGCCATGGTTTCAGAAAACAATATGGCTGCTCCCAGATGGGACATGAGTATCTGGGTTAGGGAGGCAGAGACAGATCTGGAAGCCCAGGCAGTATCTACAGAGAAAGTGCTTGAGGATTTGTGAGGCTGGGGCAGGATTCTGTCTGGCCAGACCTCATTGGTCTTGTGGAGGGCACCAATGGCAAGCAGTGTGGATGAGGAGGCACTGCACCAGCTGTACCTGTGGATAGACAACATCCCTCTGTCCAGGCCCAAGAGAAACCTCTCCCGGGACTTCAGTGACGGAGGTGTGTGCACCTGTGTGTTTCTAGTGTTTTGTCCTGTATGTACATGTAAGGGGTCTGTGACCATACTATCTCTATTGTATTAGGGGGAATGAACTCTGTCTCCTGTGACTTCAGTTATGGGAATGTGTGCTTGTGTGTGTGTGTGTGTGTGTGTGTGTGTGTGTGTGTGTGTATTTGAAGCTGTGTGTAAACAATGAGGGTCCATATGAATGTCTACTTTGTTTATCCTGTATATATGTAGTTGCGTGTGTGTGTGTGTGTGTGTCTCCTTCCAAGGACTTTATGACCAAGATATGTGTCTGTATGAATTTGTGCATTTTTGAGCATGAATTTGAGCAATGAATTTGCTCATTGCTATGTGTTCTATATGCCTGTTTTGTAGGTGTCTGAGCATGTATGTGTTCATATGTGTGTTGACAAGTTCTTTCCTGAATGTGTTTGGGGGGAATCTTGTGTGCATATGTATTTCTTTGTGATTATATAGGTGTCTTTGTTTCAGAAATGTCTCCTGGGATTTCAATGCCAAAAGTATGTAATTTTGTTTGCATTTGTACACCTGTGTGCTTGGCATGTGTTTGTAGAAGGATTTCATCATGTGTTTGCATGTGTGAGTCAGTGACTCTCCTGGGACTTTCATATTAGAGTGTGCGTGTATGAATGTGTGCATTCATGTGAATTCCTGGGGTGGGGACATGGGCTCCTGAAGCGCTCTCTTGGAGACTCACTCTGTTTTCCTGTGCCCTGAGGTAGTGGGGAAGGGATGCAGCTCCTCAAATATTTTCTAGATCTTAGTCTGATTACTGATTTTGTTTTCTTTGTCTCCCTCCCTGTCATCCTTCCCCTTTCTGCATCTCCACTGGGTTCCACCACTTTGCTGTTTTTTCTACCCCACATTTTCTTCTCTCACCTTCCACGTCTATTCCTACCCCCACTTCTCAGTCCTGGTTGCCGAGGTCATCAAGTTTTACTTCCCCAAGATGGTGGAGATGCACAATTATGTCCCTGCCAACTCTCTCCAGCAGAAGCTCAGCAACTGGGGTCACCTGAACAGGTAGCAGAATACCTACCTGTTCCTGAACAGGTGCAGGAGTGGGACTCTCCAGTCCTCACTGGGGTTCCCAGGAAGGGCTGCACCAACCCCTACACCTGCTATGAACTCCCAGGCTGGGACTGTGCTAGTGGCAGGGTGGGGAGGGCCAATACAGACAGAATCCATGTAGTAACAAAATTAACAAACTCTTAGTGGGAAGGAGACAAGGAACCTCAGGACACCCAAACGGGGATGGAGGGGTTCAGATGCCTGCCCTTCTACTCTCCCAGGACCGCAGGCTCAGGATCACTTAGTCCCCCCTTCTTTCCCATCACCCTGGCTTCATTCCCCGCAATACCCAGTCCGTTCTCCCTGTACCACCCTGTAGGAAAGTGCTGAACAAGCTGAACTTCTCGGTACCAGATGACGTGATGCGCAAGATCGCGCAGTGTGCCCCGGGCGTGGTGGAGCTGGTGCTCATTCCGCTGAGGCAGCGCCTGGAGGAGCGGCAGAGGCGCAGGAAGCAGGGCACCGGATCCTTACAGGTACCACCCCCTCTCCAGCGTCTCTACTCTGCGGGGTTCCCAGGCAGCACAGAGCCCTGTCTTGGCGATGAGTGGGAGGGAGGGGTACCAGACTAAGAGATTCTGGTCTGGGGGACTGCAGAAGGGACATGGGACTCCATGAGGGATGGGTAAGCTGAGGCTCACAGTTAATCATGGGGGTTCTTTCAGGAGCTGGCTCCTCAGGATGGCAGTGGCTATATGGATGTGGGTAAGGTGGCCTTTCTCCCTTGTCCCTGTCAGGAAAAGTTCCCCTCCTGTCCCTCCTATGGCTTTGGGGGTCAGGGGGAGACAGGAGAATGGGACTCCAGCAAGGTCACTCTTCCACTTGCCTTGTCTCAGGTTTGTCCCAGAAGGCCCGAGGGGAAGGTGCCCAGGACTCCCAGGGAGGAGGGCAGCTCAGGTAAAGCAACTGGAGTTCTGACCTTACTGTGGAGGTTTGGTCATTTCTCCACACAGGCTGGGAGTGGGGCAGGGGCTGGCTGCACCTGGGAAGGTGGGGCGGGGGACGGGAAAAGGGAAGTGAGAGAGGGAAGGTCTGACCGCGGGCACTGGAAGGGTGAGGTTGGGGTCTGAGGTCCAGGGCTCTGCTATGTTGCTTCCCATTTTAGGGGAGGTCGGCCGCCGGCGCCCCGACCTCCAGGGTATAGCCAGGAGTTGCAGGGCGACCCAAGCTTCGTTCTCCAG